GGTTGCAGGGAAAAGTGCCGGGTGTGGTGGAGCTGGAGGGGAGTGTGGAGCGGACAAGGGAGTCACGGAGAGAGTTGTCCCTCCAGAAAGCGGATAAGGGTGGGGAGGGAAAGATGTCTTTGGTGGTGGGGTCGGATTGCAGATGGCGGAAGTGTCGGAGGATGATGCGTTGGATCCGGAGGTTGGTGGGGTGGTACGTGAGGACGAGGGGGATTCTTTTTTGGTTCTTATTGCGTGGACGGGGTGTGAGGGATGAGGTGCGGGAGATGTGGTTGAGGGCGTTCTCAACCACCGAGGGGGGGAAGTTACGGTCCTTGAAAAACGAGGACAACTGAGATGTACGGGAGTGGAATGCCTCATCCTGGGAGCAGATGCAGCGGAGGTGAAGGAATTGGGAATAGGGGATAGCATTTTTGCAGTAAGGTGGGTGGGAGGAGTATTCTCGGTAGCTGTGGGAGTCGGTGGGCTTGAAATGAATATCGGTTTCTAGGTGGTTGCCCGATATGGAGACAGAGAGGTCCAGGAAGGGGAGAGAGGTGTTAGAGATGGTCCAAGTAAACTTAAGGTTGGGGTGGAAGGTGTTAGTGAAGTGTATGAACTGTTCGAGCTCCTCGTGGGAGCACGAGGCGGTTGCCCGATATGGAGACTCTGCTCCTATGATGCTGCTTGGCCTGCTGTGTTCATCCAGCCCTGCACCTTGTTGTCTCGGATTCTCCAGCATCTGCAGTTCCTACTATCTCTGATTCAACCTTTAATCTATGATGTATTCCAGCAAGTGAACACTTTCAACTGGTTAAACTCAGAATCCCTACAGTGTGGAAACAGGCTCTTTGGCCCAACAAGTCCACACCGACCAATTCCCCTATATCCCACCTAATCTACGCATCCCTGAACACTACGGGGAAATTTAGCATGGCCAATCCACCTAGCCTGCACGTCTTTGGACTATGGGAGGAAACCGGAGCACCCAGAGGAAACCTACACGGACACAGGGAGAATGTGCAAACTCTTCACAGACAGTTGCCTGTGGGTGGAATTGAACCTGGGTCTCTGGCACTTTGAGGCAGCAGTACTAACCTCTGAGCCACCACACCACCCCAATTTGAGTAGGTTAGGTGGATTAGCCATGGGAAATGCAAGGATTACAGTCAATTTATTCAAGGTGGAGTTAGATAGATTTTTTGTTTACATGGAAACCAAAAGTTAGTGGGGCAAGTGGTTTTTGGACCACAACCAAATAAACTGTGAACTTATTGAATGGCTTGAAGCAAAATAGCCTCTTCTCCTTTCTGAGTTCTCCACTCTGGTGCAGAAAGCTCAGCTTCACATGGTGGGATTTAAGTAACTGGAATGGATTCCTATTACGAGAGGTTGTATGTCAGGCAAAATACATTACAAATGTACACGTTAGCAAGGAGTAGGTAGAGGCTATTCAGCCCCTTTGCTATACACTAAGGTCATGGTTGATCTGATTATAACCTCAAATTCACATTCCCACCTTAATCTTGATAAGCTTTCACTTCTTTTGCTTGCTAAGAATTTATCTACCACTGTCTTAAATACATTCAAAGACTCTGCTTCCGACAGCTTTTAAGAATCAGAGTTCCAAAGACTCACCACTATCTGCGAGAAAACATTTTGCCACGTAACCATTTAAAATAGGTGACCCCGGTTCTTAAATAGCAGCCCCTTATTCTAGATTTTCCCATGAAAGGAAACGTTCTCTCCACATCTACTCTGACAGGATCCCTCAGGATCATATATACTTCAATCAAGCCACCCATGACTCTTCAAAATTCAGCAGATACAAGCCTTTCCTCATAAAATAACTCATCAATTCCAGGTATGGGTCCGGTAATCCTTCCCTGAACTGTTCTAATAAGTTCACATCCTTCATTTAATAAGGCGAACCAATATCATACAGACCGGTCTCACATTGAAGTGGTGAACTAAGTGAGTAGGAGATGTGCCACAATGCTTGGTGCTTCACTGATACTTACATCTGTGGGCAAAGGATGCAGATTGTCCCTGCTCATGGAGTGTGTCCTGAGATGTTGGTAAATACTTGTCATGTTGAAGAACCAAGGGAGACACAAATGAGCTAGCGACTCACTCAGACCTCTATGTCAGACATTATTGCTGTTTACTTTCTGTTCATTGTCTGGAATAATACAAACGTGCTTATAAATGAGGCGAGATTAGGTAATAATGAGATGTTAATGCATTGGTATAGGCCTCTCACCATTCACGAACAAGAATCTCATCTCACTGTTAAAACATGTTTACTCAGCATTGAGGTTCTCATTTTTTTCTGATTTGGTCATAGTTTACCAACTGACTTACCATTGCCCACATTGGGATAAATCTATCCTAGGACATTATACCATGCCCACTTAATTAGTGGCAGATCAGAAAACTATTACCCTAGAACAATTAGAATTGCTGTAATGGTTATACCACATGGTCCTCAGTTTTAACTCTAGATAGGACAAATATTCTCTCTTCCTCTTAGTATTTCAGATAATCTCTGATTACTTAAAGATGCATGATCAATGGATAATAAAAATAAGGTGTGAACCAAACAGGACTGCTCACATGCCAAATAGCATAAGCAGCAAGTGATCGACAGAGCTAAACAGTCCCACAACCAACACATTAGATCTAAACTCTGCAGACCTGCCACATCCAGTCAGGTATGGTGGCGAACAATTAAACATCTCACTGGAGGAGGAAGAGACTTTACAAATATCCCCATCCTCAATGCTGGAAGAGCCCAACTCATCAGTGCAAAAGATAAGGCTGAAGCAGTCTTCAGCCAGAAATGCTGAGTGGATGACCCATCTCAGTCTCCTCCAGAGATCCCCTGCATTACAGATACCAGTTTTCAGCCAATTCAGTTCACTCCACATGGTATCAATAAATGGTTGCAGGCACTGGATACTGCAAAGACTATGGGCCTTCATAAAATTTCAGCCATAGCACCGAAGACTTGACATGAGGAAAATTGCCCAGGTATGTCCTGTACATAAAAAATAGGAAAAGTCCAACTGGGCCAAGTTCTGCCCCAACAATCTCTTCTTGAACATCAGGAAAGTGATGGAGGTTGTCATCAACAATGCTGAACAATAACCTGCTCAGTGACGCCCAGATTGGGTTTCACCAGGGCCAGTCAGCTCCTGACCTCATTGCAGCCTTGGTTCAAATGCGGACAAAAACGCTGAATTCCAGAGGTGAGGTGAGAGTGACACTCCTTGACATCAAGGTCACATGCAACCAAGTGTGGCATCAAGGAGCCCTAGAAAAACTGGAATCAATAGGTATCGGGAGGCAAACTCTCCAGTGGTTAGAGTCATACCTGGCACATAGGAAGGTGGTTGTGATCATTGGAAACAAGTAATTTCAGCTCCAGGACATCTCTGCAGGAGTTCATCATGGTAATGTCCTTGGCCCAACCATTTTCAGCTGGTGGCTCAGTGGTTAGCACTGCTGCCTCACAGCGCCAGGGGTCCGGGTTCGATTCCACCCTCGGGCGACTGCATGTGTGGAGTTTGCACATTCTCCCCGTGTCTGCGTGGGTTGCCTCCCGCAGTCCAAAGATGTGCAGGCTAGGTGGATTGGCCATGGGAAATTGCCCATATTGTTCAGGGATGTGTGGGTTATGGGGGGGTTGGGTCTGGGTGGGATGGTATGAGGGTCAGTGTGGACTTGTTGGGCCGAAGGGCCTGTTTCCACACTGTAGGAATTCAATGGACCTTCCCTGCATCATAAAGTCAGAAGTGGGATGTTCGCTGATGGTTAACAATGTTCAGCTACATTCACGATTCCTCAGACACTGAAGCAGTTCATCTTCAAATGCAACAAGAACTAAGCAATATCCAGGCTTAGGTTGACAAGTGGCAAGTAACGTTCACACCACACAAATGCCAGGCAATAACCATCCCCAATAAGAGACTATTTAACCACTGCCCCTTGACATTAACTGTCACTGAATCTGCCACTTTCAATATCCTGTGGATTATCACTGACCAGAAGCTCAACTGGACTCACCACATAAACACAGTGGCTGCAAGGACAGTTCAGAGGCTAGGAATACTGCAATGAGTGACTCACCTCCTGACTCCCCAGAGCCTGTCTACTATCTACAAGGCACAAGTCAGGAGTGTGATGGAATACTCCCCATTTGCCTGGATGGGTGTGGCCCCAATAAGACTCAAGAAGCTTAATACCATCCAAGAAAAAGCAGCCCGCTTGATTGGTACCACATCCACAAGCATCCACTCCCTCCACCATCGACGCTCAGTAGCAGCAGTGTGTACTATCTACAAGATGCATTGCAGAAATTCACCAAAGATCCTCGGACAGCACCTTCCAAACCCACAATCACTTCCATCTAGAAGGACAAGTTCCCCTCCAAGCCACACATCATCCTGACTTGGAAATATACCATCGTGCCATCACTGTCACTGGGTCAAAATCCTGGAATTCCCTCCCTAATAGACCCACAGGAGGTGGACTGCAGCGGTTCAAGAAGGCAGCTCAGCGGTTGGAGCAGAATTTGAAAGCACAATTTTAAACATTCATTGGAGAGAACAGCACTGAGAAACTTCAACTAAACGAGGGGTTGGGGTAATGCTCAGATATAGAAATAAAGAAAGAATTATTGAGTGGTGTAAGTGGTTTTGAAGAAACGATGAAATTGGAATGGGAAGCAAATTTCTGCAAGAGAGAAGGATAAACATTAAAGGGGGTCAGTTGAACTTAACTTGTCAGATGGGGAACTGACAGAATTGTACAAGTCAGCTTGATAAATTTCACCACAGGAGGGAATCTTATTCTGTCAGTTTCTCGCTGTGACAGATGGGTTAAAATTAGCCCCAAGGACTTGCATTTATACAGCATTTCTTTATATTTTTCAACAATGTCCCAAAATGCATTTCATTCATGAACTATTTTGTATATTTAAATTGATGATAGATACAAAGACATTGAAGGAGGACAAAAGATACTTATTTGTTTATTTTAATAGCCTCAGTTTCATGGACTCTTTATCCTTAAATGTGATACTGAAAGCTGTCCAATCTAATTTGAAGTCTGATCAATCAGCTTAATGCTATCTTTTAATGGGTATTTTGCTTCACTTATTAGTTACACCATCTGTTTAATGAAACACAAAGGGTAAGTAGTTTGATGTTGCATTTTCTTGGTTAGACCCCTATACTGAGAAGTCAGAAAAACCAATTCCTTTTCTGAAGGGAATCAAACTTGTGTTGAGATACAGCCCTTACTTGAAGTTGACAACATCTTTCCTCTTCACAGCCATGGCTATTCAGGTAATCCTCCTGAGCATTTAAAAAATGCTTAATACAAGAAACATACTGTTCTGCTGCATTAAAAGCATCAGGAGTCCCTGGATTTTACACCTTGCAATGGATGGTGTGGGAACGTAAAAATAACTGTAGCATTTTACAATTAATTCTCAGGGTGTGAGAACATTTTCCTTCACAGATGCTGCCAGACCTGCTGAGCTTTTCCAGCAACTTTGTTTTTGTTCCTGATTTACAGCATCCGCAGTTCTTTCAGTTTTTGCTCAGGGTGAGAGTGTTGGGAGCAAGACCTCCATTTATTGCTAATTGCTAATTGCCCTATGAAGGGTGTCTGCGGAGCTGAGCGACTTGCTAGCTTTTTTCAGAAGGAATTTAAAAGTCAGTCACATTGTTGTGCACCTGCACTAAGCTAGACTTGACTTGGTCGGCAGATTTCTTCTTGTGATTAAGTTGGGTATCTTTGACTCATATATTGATGATCACAATTGTAGATCCTATATTTCTTTTTTCTAAAAAAAAAATAAGATTTTTGAATTAATCAAATCTAAAGTCCCCAGCTGTAGGAGTTGAACTTAAGCATCATCAATCAAATGATTGATTCCATAACATAATCACTATGTCACTGAGCTGTAGTGTTGGTATTACAAAACAGGTCTCTGAAATTGTTAACATAAAGCAGAACTACAGATGCTGAAGGTCTGAAACAAAAATAGAGAAACTCAGCAGGTATGGCAGCATCTGTGGAGAGGGAAACAAATTACCATTTCAAGTCCAGTGACCCTTCTTCAGAACTGAAAGGAATGAGGAAAAGGATGTATACATGCTGAAGAGATAGTAAGAACTGCAGATGCTGGAGTCAGAGATAACACAGTGTGGAGCTGGAGGAACACAGCGGGCCAGGCAGCATCAGAGGAGCAGGAAAGTTGGTGTTTTGGGTCACGACCCTTCTTCAGAAATGGGAAGGGGGAAGCGGCCTGGGAAATAAATAGAGAGGAGGGGTGGGGCTGGGGAAGGTAGGTGGGATGGTGATAGGTGAGTGCAGGTAGGGAGTGGTGGGGATTGGTCAGTGAGGTCCGAGGGCCGGATAGGTAGGAGAGAAGATGGACAGGTTGTGTCAGGTCAAAGAGGCGGGGATGAGAGGGAGGGTTGGACATGGGTTGAAGCCGGGGGTGGGGAGATTCTAAAACTGGTAAAGTCCACCTTTAGGCCATTGGGCTGTAGGCTCCCGAGGCGGAATATGAGGTGCTGCTCCTCCAGTTTGCGGGTGGCATCATTGCGACACTGGAGAAGGGTCAGGATGGACATGTCACCCAGGGAGTGGGAGGGGGGAGTTGCAGTGGTTCGTGACTGGAAGATGTTGTTGTTTGCTGCAAACAGAGCGCAGGTGCTCTACAAAGCATTATCCAAGCCTCTGCTTGGTCTCACCAATGTAGAGGAGGCCACATCAGGAGCAGTGGATACAGTAAATCATGTTGACAGATGTGCAGGTGAACCCCTGTCTAATGTGGAAGGTTTGTTTTGTGCCTTGGATGGAGTTGAGGCAGGAGGTGAAGGGGCAAGTGTAGTACTTCCTGCAGTTGGAGGGAAAGGTGCCGGGGGTGGTGGGGTTAGTGGGGAGTGTGAAGTGGACGAGGGAGTCACAAAGTGAGTGGTCCCTACGAAAGACAGATAGAGGTGGGGAGGGAAATATCCCTTTGGTTATATATGCTGAAGATAGGGGCTGGTGCAAAGGAGGTAAAGACGGAGCCCAGAGAGAAAGAAAGACAGTTGAACAGACAAATGGGTTGTAGTGATTGGAATCAGGTTGACCTCATTGACTACAAGATCATTGATTGGAGTTGTTAACCTGGGCCAATCAGGAAAGCCCCAGCTGACTAATATATCCAGGAGATGAGAATCTCCTGAGTCCAGGTGACTGACTCCTTGCTCGCTAATCACAGCTAGTATACTGTACACAAGTAAATAAAGGGTGACATGGTGACAGGACCCAGCCTCTATGCAGTTATTTCAGGGATGGATAATGGTAAGCCAGGCAAGGAGGAAAGCTAATACTGTGTCCACGACAGTTACTAATCTCATCTTATTTAGGGATCTCCCCACCCCTCCATCAGTCTCCGAGCTCACAGACCCCCAACCCCTTACAGCCTGTTCTACCTCCTTCCCAAACTCCATAAACAGGATGGCCCAGGCAGACCTGTTGTTTTTGCCTGCTCCTGCCCCACGGAACTTATCTCTTCCTACCTTGACTTGATTTTTTTTTTATTTTCCCCTTCTCCATCCCTTTCCATGTACATCTGTGATTCTTCTTCAGTTTCAGAATTTTCAGCTTGAGGGCTCCAGCCGCTCCCTCTTTACTATGGAGCTGCAATCATGTCCATTCCCCCATCAGGATGGTCTCAGGGCTCTCCGCTTCAGCCTGGGGAGAAAAGGCCTGAACTGTCCCCATCCACCACCACACTCCGCTGCTTGGCCGAGCTCATCCTCACCCCGAACAACTTCTCTTTTTTAACTCCTCTCACTCAGGTCAAAGGTGTGACCATGGCAACCCACATGGAGCCCCTGTAATGCCTGACTGTTCGTGGGGTATGTGGAATAGTCCTTATTCCAATTCTATTCAAGTCCTTCACCACAACTCTCTCTCTGGTAGACTGATGACATCATCGGTGCTGCTTCCCTCTTGATTTTGGAATTGGAAAAATTTATAAATTTTGCTTCCAATTTCCACCCTGCCCTCCCCTTAACCTGGTCCATCTCTGACTCCTCCTTTCCCTTCCTCAACATCTCTGTTTCCATTTCTGGGGATAGACTGGCCACCAATATCCATTTGGAACACACCCACTCCCATCCTTACACCCTGCTTTCTGTAAGGACTCCGTTCCATTCTTCCAGTTTCCATCCCATCTGTTCCGATGATGCTACCTTCTGCAGGGGGGCAATAGAAATGTCTACTGTTTTTATCAACCCAGATTCCCCAGCACCATGGTTTACAGGACCCTCAACCATGTCCAACCCATCTCCCACATTCCTGCTCCCACCCTCTGTCTTCCCTCCCACAACAATGAAAGGGTCCCCTCTGTCCTCACTTACCACCCCAACAGCATCCACATCCAAAGAATCATAAGCTGCTATTTCCACCACCTCTAGGCCAATGCCACTACCAGACACGTATTCCCCTCCCCTCCTTTGTCAGCATTTTGCAGGGTTCATTCCGTCTGGGACACCCTGGTCCATTCCCGCTTCACTCGCAAGACTTCCCAACATCCCCAAGACACCTTCCCATGCAGTCACAGAAAATGCAAAAGAAGAGATGTGTGGAAGAACTTGCCCATTTCCCACCTCCCTCCTTATGATCCAAGGACCCAGGCACACCTTCCAGGTGAAGCAGCAATTTACCTACACTTCACTCCATCTGGTCGGCTGTATTTGGTGTTCACAATGTGGCCTCCTCTGCACTGGGGAGATAAAACACAGACTGGCATCAACTCTGCAGAACACCTATGTTCTGTCCACTAAAATGACAAAATTTCCTGTTCCCTGAAACTTAAGCACACCACTGTGTTCCCCAGTCAACGTTTCTGCCTTGGACTTGCTGCAGTGCTCCAGTGAGACTCAGAGCAAGCTGGAAGCACAGCACCTCATTTTCTGCTTGGGGACCCTGCAACCTTTAGGAGTTAATGTCGAGTTCAGTAATTTTAGACCCTGACTACCACATTCCATGTTCATACACACATACACATATACCCACACACACACACACACCCCTACATACACACACACACACCCACACACCTGCACACACACACCTGCACACACACACATACACACACACCTAAATACACACACACATACACACACCAGGTCTGCTCATGACATGGGCTGCTTTCAGTCTGGCCAGCCCATGTTATGGTACACTTTAACTGTGTTTCTTCCTCCCTGGCTTACTAGCATCCAGGCTCTGTCTCTACCTACTCACCTATGAGCGGCATGGTGGCTCAGTGTTTAGCACTGTTGTCTCACAACACCAGATGCCCACATTCAATTCCAGCCTCGGGTGACTGTGTGCAGTTTGCACATTCTCCATGTGTCTGTGTGGGTTTCCTCCCACAGTCCAAAGATGTGCAGGTTAGGTGGATTGGCCATGGGTAATGCAGGATTACAGGGATGGAGTGGGTCTGAGTGGGATGCACTTAGGAGAGTTGGTGTGGACTCGATGGACTGAATGGCCTACTTCCACACTGTCAGGATTCTATGAATTCCTTTCCCTACTCCCCACCCCTGTCTTCAGCAAGTTTCCTATCTTTTCCTAGCTACTATCGGGTTTGAAAAAGGGTCTTTGGACTCAAAATGACAACTCTGCTTTCTCTCTACAAAAGCTACCAGACCTAATGAGTTTCTCCAACAATTTCTGTTTTTGCCTGCAAAAATTGTCATTGGGTTGTGATGTAATACTTTGGAAAAATCTGAACACAAATGTTTGTTTTCTTTATTTACACAAGACCCAATTATATGGAGATTCTAATTAATTTGGATTCGAAGGAGTATTTGTTCTGTGCTTTTTTTAAAATATTTGTGCAAAACAGGTGTGTTATACCTGGACTTGCAAAAACATGAGGTGCCATTAAAAAAATTAATAGGCAAGATAGGGATCAGGGAGTTGAGGATAATGTATTAACACAGGTAGAGAACTGGTTAACAAACAGAGAGGGGTGACAGTACATAAATGGGACATTTTCAAGTAATCAGGCAGTAAATAGTGGAGTCCACAAGGTAGAGTGCTGTAGCCTCCAGCTTTTATAATTGACATTGATGACTTTGATGAAGCATCAGAAAGTAAAATATCTAGGTTTGCTGATGATACAAAGCCAGATGGAAAGGTAAGTTGACAGAGAGGCTGCAAAGAATTATAGACAGGGTAAATAGGTGTAGACAGGATAGACTGGTTACAGATAGGCTACTTCATAAGGTAAGAGGTTTCGATGGTATATATTAGCATGGATAAAGGATTAGCAGACTAATTAGAATTAGAATCCCTACAGTGTGGAAACAGGCCCTTTGGCCCAACAAGTCCACACTGAACCTCACAGCATCCCACCCAGATCCATCCCCCTAATATACACCTTCTACCTCCCTGAACACTATGGGCAATTTAGCATGGCTAATCTGCCTATCTTTGGACTGTGGGAGGAAACCCACGCAGACAATGTGCAAACTCAACACAGTCAGTCACCCGAGGCTGGAATCGAACCCAGGTCCCTGGTGCTGTGAGGCAGCAGTGCTAACCACTGTGCCACCATGTCACCCAAATGGAAGATAGATTCAGGATAAAGGGATCACTGTTTGGGCCACAATTGATTGCAATATATATTAATGACCTGGCTGAGGAAAGTGAATATATTGAGGCACAAAAGTAGGTAGGAAGGCAAGTGGAGAGGATGACAGGGGGATAAAGACAGGTTATGCAAATGGGAAATAAAAATGGCAGATAGAATAGAATATCCTTTCTTGTCACGTGTACTCCAGTACAGATGTGCAGGAGTATCGTGAAAAGTTTTACAATGTCATCTCTTATGACACCATCTTAAGTACAAGTACCTTGGTACAAACCTTAGATACAAAAACAGGAATAAAAAGAAAAGTCCACTTTTGACTCCAACATCTGTGTAGATTTTTTAATTTCCCCATTTTAAAATCGTTACTTTTGAAGGTTTATTGTGAAATTATTAATTTATGAACAATACGAATCAATGTATGAGCAGATTGAATGTCTATTATAATAGATTTATTTTCTCACACTCAGCTTGTAGAGGGGAACTTTGCTCTGTTTTGCACTTATGCTGCTGATCTTCGACACCATTATCAAAACATCGTACTTGTGATTCTGGTATGTTTATTTTTAACATTTTGTTTTCCTCTTCATGCAAACACTTGCACTTAACACTGTCACATATTTGAAGAAGAGGGCATTTCTTGAAGTAGCAATAGAATAAAAAGAATGAATTTAATCCTGAAACATTTTAGTCAGGATCTAAGTTTGTCTGCATTTGGAATTAATCATTACATAGAAGGCTGACCCAGGATATGACTGAATCTGATCATGGAATTTGGCAGTATTGCAGTCCTGGACATGAAAATTTTGAAATTGACAATAGTATAACAAACTTCCTTGGGACTGATATTATTGCAGTGAGAATTGTGAAGTTCGTACTGTACTAAGTATTTTCGTTGGTGACATAGAGTCATACAGCATGGAAACAGACACTTCAGTCTCCCCCGCAACTCGTCCATGCCAACCACGTTCCCAAACTAAACTAGTCCGACCTGCCTTCATTTAACCCATATCCCTCCAAACCTTTCCTATTCATGTATTTATCCAAATGTCTTTTAAATGTTGTAACTGTACCTACATCCACACTTCCTCCAGCCGTTCATTCCACACACTAACCACTCTCTGTGTAAAAAGGTCGCCCCCCCCCCCCCCCCAATATCCTTTTTAAATCTTTCTCCTCCCACCTTAAAAGTATGCCCCCTAGTTTTGAACTCCCCCACCTTAGGGAAAAGACCTTTGCTATTCACTTTATCTATGCTCCTGCAGACTTTATAAACCTCTCAACTCCTATGCTCCAGTGAGAAAGGTCCCAGCCTTTCCAGCCTATGTTTAGAATTTAAACTCTCCCTTCCTAGCAACATCCTAGTAAATCTTTTCTGAATCCTCTCCAGTTTAATAATATCCTTCCTATAACAGGGTGACCAGAACTGCACACAGTACTCCTGAAGAGGACTCACCATAGTCCTGTACAACCTCAACATAACATCCCAACTTCCATACACAAAGGTCTGAAAAATTAGGACAAGCATGCAAAAATACCATCTCAACTATCTTGTCTGCCTCTGATGCAAATTTCAAAGAATTATGTACCTGAATCTATAGGTCACTCTGTTCTACAACACTACCCAGGGCCCTACCATTAACTATATAAGTCCTGTGCTTATTTGTTTTACCAAAATGCAGTATCTCACATTTATCCGAAATCAAACTCCATCTGCCACAACTAAACCTATTGACCAAATTGATCAAGATCTCTTTGTAATTTTAGATAACTTTCTTCACTGTCCACTATACCACCAATTTTGGTGTCATCTGCAAACTTACCAACCATGCCTCCTATATTCTCATCCAAATCATTTATATAAATGACAAACAAAAGTGAATCCAGTACCATTCCCTGTGGAACACTGCTGGTCATAGGGATTCAGTCCAAAAAACCCTCCACCACCACCCTCTGTCTCCTAGCATAGAGCCAATTTTGTGTCCAATTGGCAGGCTCACCCTGAATTCTATGTGATCTAACTTTACTAATGTGTCTACCAATTTGTAGATATAGGAGATAATTCACTTAGTGAATTCATAGTGTTCTGAATACTTATGATTTTGAAGGTTTTTGATTAAATACAAAATTGTTAACAAAATTAGTACTTTCTGCAGACAATATTTTTTTTAAATTGTGGATTTTATTGTGGTGTGCTTTATTCATGTTTCTCAAACAACAGATCATCATTAAATCTGGATTGATCACGTGAATCATTTTGTTTTCCATTGTAGATAACTGCTGTGATGATTGTTCCTTTTTGGCAATGTTTTCTGCGGAGATTTGGGAAGAAAACTGCTGTTTACTTTGGTAGTACTGTATGTACCAATTTTTTTCATTTCAACTTTGTACTTTGGAATATTGATTTTCTTTATTGAAATATACTAACTCCTCAATGAGGAACACAACCCATAAAAAGACAACATCCCTAATACCTAAGGGCTAAAGGGCTAACTTACCATTGGCCATGGAGCACACTGCTCCTGGGCCCAGTAACGGGCATGAACCTGGATCTGCTGGATGTCTGTTCCATGTACAATTGGGTGCAAAATCCAATTGGAGAATACATAGAGGCTGTTGATGTTGAATCAATGTTCATGAAAATTTAGACTTTAGCATTCACAGAGAGAAGTGATCACTGATGTGATGGGTATACAAACTTTCTGTACTGTGTGAGCTGCTGGTCATGATGAAACTTGGAGCCACTATCTTCTTTCAGTCTAGGAAACAACAGGGCCTGCTTGGTGCAGTGTGGCCTTTCTCATTCTCTAATTTATCTGCAAAGTCTTAGGGTATAAAAAAAAATTCTTCTTGAGCACTAAAAGACACAATGAAACAGCACCATTAACCCACTGTGTATTAAAAACGAGAAGTTGGATCCTAAAACAAATTGCAAACTTCTGTTTTATTTTGTTGTACTTTTCTCTGTTTATAGTGGTTAATTCCATTTTTATGCTTGATGGCTTCTCTTCCAAACAATCTCATTGTAGCCTATGTGGCGGCAGTTTCCTCTGGTCTGAGTATTGCTTCATTTTTTCTGTTACCATGGTAAGTAACATTGATTTATTTCCTTTTTTTGAATTTATACATACAACTGTTGATGTTGTAACATTATCTTCACACCCTCAAATCTAAGACATATTATGACTGAGACAGGAGGAGTGCATAGTTTCTCTGTCTGATCTCACTGCTCTACAGGTTACAACATAATTGTTATTGTTTTACATAGTTCCTGATAGTGCCAATTGTATGATTTCTTTGTATTGAAATTAGAAAATAATTAGCCATCAATCAAGTCTCTAAAATAAGCAAAGAAAATTATAAAGTCATACAGTTGTACAGCAGAGAAACAGATCCTTTGGTCCAACTCGTCCAGGCCAACCAGATACCCTAAATTAATCTAGTCCCATTTACCTGCATTTGACCCACATCCATCTAAATCCTTCCTATTCATGTACCTATCCAGATGCCTTTTAAATGTTTTAATTGTATGAGCTTCCGCCACTTCCTCTGGCAGCTCACTCCATACACTCACCTCTCTGTCTGAAAAAGTTGCCCTTCAGGTCCCTTTTAAATCTTTCCCCTCTCATCTTAAACCTATGCCCCCTAGTTTTGGGCTGCCCTAACCTGGGAAAAAGACCTTGGCTATTTACCTTATCCATGCCCCTCATGACTCTATAAACCTCTATAAAGTCACCCCTCAGCCTCTGATGCTGCAGGGGAAATAGCCCCAGTCTATTCAGCCTCTCCCTACAGCTCAAACCCTCCAACCCTGGCAACATCCTTGTAAATCTTTTCTGAACCCTTTCAACTTTAACATCTTTCATATAGCAGGGAGACCAGAATTGAACTCAGCATTCCAAAAGTGGCCTAACCAACATTTTGTACAGCCGCAACATGACTTCCCAACTCCTATATTCAATGCCAAAATATTGATTTTGTGTAAAACAAAATGTACAAAAATGCCAAGCTGGTTAACACACTAAGATTATAATGTGAAGATGTAGACGTTAACACTCCAAAGCGTGTGCACGCGCACACACACACAAACCTACATGCATTCCAGGTAAAAGCATTTCTCCCTGTAGAGCTTTAATGAACCACTTTTGGCCAATAAGTCTTAGTTCTTGAAAACAAGAAGGATATTTTATGGAATGTTCAGAGAGCTATGAGATACTCTGGCACAGATGGGTGCACTAAACATTGCTGGGATCTTTGCAACCTGCAGTTTGCAGCGGAAAAACAGCATTGAAAGGTCTTCCAGCCTCTCTTCAAGAGACCAATGTGTTTCACACTGGATTCACAACAAGGGTATGTTTCAGAAATACAAGTGCTGATTTCAGAGCATCTTAACTTCAGCTGATTGGTCACTACCTATTCCAAATAATTTCCAAAGCATGAGCTTGCAGCTCAACAGTCATAATGCAAGGCAAGGGTTCTTCAGTAAACAAACAGCTATCACAAGACAACAAGGTGCAGGGCTGGATGAACACAGCAGGCCAAGCAGCATCATAGGAGCAGAAACGCTGACGTTTCGGGCCTAGACCCTTCATCAGAAAAGGGGGAGGGGAAGGGGGTTCTGAAATAAATAGGGAGAGAGTGGGAGGTGGACAGAAGATGGATAGAGGAGAGGATAGGTGGAGAGGAAACAAACAGGTCGAAGAGGCGGGGATGGGGCCAGTAAAGGTGAGTGTAGGTGGGGAGTTAGGGAGGGGATAGTCCAGGGAGGACGAACAGGTCAAGGGGGCGGGATGAGGTTAGTCGGTAGGAGATGGAGGTGCGGCTTGAGGTGGGAGGAGGGGATAGGTGGGAGGAAGAACAGGTTAGGGAGGCGGGGATGAGCTGGACTGGTTTTGGGATGCGGTAGGGGGAGGGGAGATTTTGAAGCTTGTGAAATCCGTGGAACAATCCCTCTTCCGTACCTACACCGGCCCTAAACCCCACCTCTTCCTCTGTTACATTGATGACTGTATTGGCGCCGCCTCGTGCTCCCACGAGGAGCTCGAACAGTTCATTCACTTCACTAACACCTTCCACCCCAACCTTAACTTTACCTGGACCATCTCTAACACCTCTCTCCCCTTCCTGGACTTCTCTGTCTCCATATCGGGCAACCACCTAGAAACCGATATTCATTTCAAGCCCACTGACTCCCACAGCTACCTAGAATACTCCTCCTCCCACCTGCCTTCCTTTAAAAATGCTATCCCCTATTCCCAATTCCTTCACCTCCGCCGCGTCTGCTCCCAGGATGAGGCATTCCACTCCCGTACATCTCAGTTGTCCTCGTTTTTCAAGGACCGTAACTTCCCCCCCTCAGTGGTCGAGAATGCCCTCAACCGTGTCTCCCACATCTCCCGCAACTCATCCCTCACACCCCGTCCATGCAATAAGAATCAAAAAAGAATCCCCCTCGTCCTCACATACCACCCCACCAACCTCCGGATCCAACGCATCATCCTCCGACACTTCTGCCATCTGCAATCCGACCCCACCACCAAAGACATCTTTCCCTCCCCACTCTTATCTGCTTTCCGGAGGGACCACTCTCTCCGTGACTCCCTTGTCCGCTCCACACTCCCCTCCAGCTCCACCACACCCGGCACTTTTCCCTGCAACTGCAGGAAGTGCTACACCTGTCCCCATACCTCCTCCCTCACCCCCATCCCAGGCCCCAAGAAGACTTTCCACATCAAGCAGATGTTCACCTGCACATCTGCCAATGTGGTATACCCGGTACCCGCTGTACCCGGTGTGGCTTCCTCTACATCGGGGAAACCAAGCGGAGGCTCAGGGACCGCTTTGCAGAACACCTACGCTCGGTTCGCAATAAACAACTGCACCTCCCAGTCGCGAACCATTTCAACTCCCCCTCCCATTCCTCAGATGACATGTCCATCCTGGGCCTCCTGCAGTGCCACAACGATGCCACCCGAAGGGTGCAGGAACAGCAACTCATATTCTGCTTGGGAACCCTGCAGCCCAATGGTATCAATGTGGATTTCACAAGCTTCAAAATCTCCCCTCCCCCTACCGCATCCCAAAACCAGTCCAGCTCGTCCCCGCCTCCCTAACCTGTTCTTCCTCCCACCTATCCCCTCCTCCCACCTCAAGCCTCCACCCCATCTCCTATCGACTAACCTCATCCCGCCCCCTTGACCTGTCCGTCCTCCCTGGACTGACCTATCCCCTCCCTAACTCCCCACCTACACTCACCTTTACTGGCCCCATCCCCACCTCTTCGACCTGTTTGTTTCCTCTCCACCTATCCTTTCCTCTATCCATCTTCTATCCGCCTCCCACTCTCTCCCTATTTATTTCAGAACCCCCTTCCCCTCCCCCTTTTCTGATGAAGGGTCTAGGCCCGAAACGTCAGCCTTTCTGCTCCTATGATGCTGCTTGGCCTGCTGTGTTCATCCAGCCCTGCACCTTGTTGTCTCGGATTCTCCAGCATCTGCAGTTCCTACTATCTCAGCTATCACAAGAGATTTGACTACCTGCAAATGGCTAGTTAACAAATTCCTTTCAGCAATCTCTTTAAAAATCAAATTCCAGGTATCCACAATCCTTCAAAGACATGTCCACCAAAATTAGTAAGTAAGGTGTCTCCATTATAGAAAATTGGTGCATTTGTCAGCTGTTCAGCTCATCAAGCCATTATGATTCTGTGAATAACACAGTTATTGCCATCTCATTAATGTATTTCTCTCCAGAACTTCCTTTTTTACAGGGTGGTTTAGGATAACTTTTTTTTTCTACGTCTCAAACCAACATTAGTGAGTTACCTCACTGTAATAGATCTTACAGCTGTTACCCAAAAATGTAGTAATTTATTTGGATCTGTTTGCAAAGAAAGTTTTAATTGCCTTGGCTCTAAATTTCCAATCAGGACAGATCCGCAATTTACTCAAACAAAACCAGAAATTGCTGGAGAAACTCAGCAGGTCTTGCAGCATCTGTAGTAAGAAAGCAGTGTTAACATTTCGAGTCCAGTGACTCTTTATCAGAATGTTCTTAGGTAGAGTGACTGGACTCAAAGCATTAACTCTGCTTTCTTCCCACAGATGCTGCCAGACCCGCTGAGTTTCTCCAGCAATTTCTCTTTCCATTTCAGATCTACAGTTTTTTGATTTATTTTTGTGGAATTTACTCCTTTCTTTTCTTTCCAATCATTTTCTATGGATTCAAGAGTCGGCTTTGCTCCTTCTCCTGTTTCAAAACTATGCTTCTTGCACTGTTTCTAGCTTCCTGCGGGCTTTTGACCCTTTAACCCCACCCCCGTAGAGCTTAGTAACACATGGCAATTGACAGGTGATCTCAGTACAACTGATGGCTACAAAAATGTGCTGGACACTTATTAGGAAAAGGTAAAACGTATTTCAGAAGTGATTGATTACCTTGTCATAATTATCCAGCTGGTGTACTGAGAGCAGAGGAAGAAATGAAGACCTGCCCTCTACCATCAAATGGGAAAGGTGCCAATCTCCATGTAGTTTGAGGCAGATAGCACTGCAGCGACTACCTTAGCTGTACAATTGAGAGGGTCTGCCTGCTCTCGGCTAAGGCAGGTGAGGATTAAACTCTGCAACATTCATGAAGCAGACCCCCTGGAAATCCACAACCCCTGAACTTTTCATAACGTTAATTTAATTTTTTTTATACTCCTCTATTTCAGTGGGTCAGTAACGTGGTCCTATGGAACAGGTGCTATGAGCACTTGTGCACTGATCCAGCTCAATAACTCAATGTCAGCTGAATTGAATTTTTTTTTGACACTGGTGCTGTTTTACTCCTGACACGCTGTAAATCTTGCGGGAAGGAGGGTTGGTGTGCAGTTTTGGATTCTGACCAGTGAAAGACTGCAGCTTTTCTGATATTGAGGGAGCTGTTGGTGGGGAAGGAAAAAAGGAAGAATTGGATAGAAAGCATCAGCTGGAGCGGTCCCTCCTTCCACAGCTATTCCATAAAAGCTGCGTATGATTGGAATGCTAAATGAATGCTTCAGTTTCATTAAAATGTCTTGTATAGATTCTATGCTGCAACAAGCTTCTTTAAAGTACTATGGAAAAGTCTAATGTGAGTAATATTGGATGGACTACAAACTAGGCACAGGACAGGATAAAGGCATACTCTGTCTTCCCTGCAGATGCCTCTTCACTAATTTCTGGGAGTCTGTGCCAAAGTTGGGAGATCTGCCCCACGGCCATATATAGTCAATCTCACCGAATCCTCATCTGGTGTTTCCATCTGATACTGGAGCAGAATCCTAGGTCTGTTTCACACACAGCAATTCTGCCAGGTGGGATGCTAAACAGCATGGCCATTTTGTCAATTTTATTGGCGATGCAGTCATATTATCAAAAATTCATATGCTACAACTGGTATCTATAACTAGAATGATAATTTCTAAGATTCTGTTTAGCATTCCTGACATTATATACATTAGAGGTGACTTTACAGACCTCATTGTAGACTTAGACCTGCTTATTTCTCATTGTAGGTCTATGCTGCCTGATGTTATTGATGCTTTTAGACTTGAAAACCCACACGTAAAGGGACTGGAAACTATATTCTGCTCATTCTATGTCTTCTTCGCCAAGTTGTCCAATGGAGTTTCTTTGGGATTCTCTGCACTTAGCCTTCAGTAAGTGATTCAAACACATTTGTTAAGTTTACCTTATTTCCTTCCTTAAAACAAACATTATCTCACCAACTGATGATGGAAGGTAAGTAGTGTCACCTGCTTAAAGGAAGAAACCCCCTTTAAAAAGAGATTTTGTGTATTGTGCTTATGTATATCCATGAAAATGAATGTGATGTTCAACTTTAATTAGCCCAGAATCAAGGTTAACAGGGTTGGATGGAGAATGAAACCTAATATTCTGTCACTCTATGTATATCAATTCGACTTCCTTAGAAACATCTCTCCCCAGCATCAGTGCCATACAGGCCAGCCTAGACTCCCTCTTGATAGTAGTTTCTTGATAATCGTTTTACTTGTTCTCCATATTCAAGGCTGAGTTAGACAAATCTGTAAGGGAATCCAAGAGGAAAAGGCAGGAAAATGGAACTGACAAATTATCAGACCAATCATGAGTTCATTGAATGGCAGAGTCAAATGGCCTATTTTTGTCCGGACATCAATCCATCGATACACCATGTAAAATAATTGAGAAGACATGTTGTAGTCTCACTTTGAAACTAACTGTTAGGAGATGCATGAAGTCAACATCCTTGTGGCTTTTTGTAAAACTGAGCAACTTAGGAAACTTCATAAACTATTACGTTAGCTGGGATTCTGATGATTTTAATTCAATTTATAGTTGACTGGCATTAAACCCTGTAGATTATTCTGTCTAGAGACTTACGGTTGTTTTGACTGTAACTTCATCCATCTAACTAGCATTAGAACTTTTACACTGTATGATCAGTACAAATTATCTGCAATTAGAACTGTAAGATCATAATAATCCAGGAGATAACATAGCATAAGAAATACAAAGTAAAGAGTAGGTGTCAGAAAAATGTTTCATGATATTTGTGTCCTAGTTTTGCAGGCTACGCAACTGGACTTTGTTTCCAGTCCCAATCTGTGACTTTCACCCTAAAAATACTAGTGTCAGCAGTGCCTACAGGACTGATTATCATTGGGTTAATGATATTCCGGTTTTACCCAATAACAGAAGACATCCGAGTGAGAAATGAGTTGGCACTCCAAGAGCTAAGGTAGATATTTATTGAATAATGGTCTTCTGTAATGTTTGCTCAAATCAAAGAACCAATACAAGGGTCACTCGATCCGAAGTATTAACTCTGTTTTTTTCCTTCATAGATGCTGCCAGACCTGTTGAGCTTTTCCAGCAACTTTGTTTTTGTAACCAATACAACACAGTGGGCAAACTGCCCTGCATCTGTGCTGTACAGCTCAGAGATAGAAATGCATCTTCAGGAGTAACATTAAGCAGTTGGTAGTGCATCGGCCACTCATTACATTTCATGTCTGACAGTCAATTCTGTTAAAGTCAATGTAACTAAATATCAGAAATTGGGTTGGGGATACAAGAGGATGATATAAAGAGGTCAATAACTTATTATTCACTTTGTTTTACTAGTTCTATCTAATTTATACCTCCCACCATGCTCAGTTGCTGTTCAAAAGTCAAGTTTAAGTACTCAAGGCAGAAGATGATTGTAATATTATGTATTGTGTGGTTCTGTCAGTTTTTCAAATGCATAACATGCAGTTATTTAATCCTTTATTTTGAGCTTTGGGCACAGAAATTTTCAACTAAGGTGGAACATTGTTCCAATAAAAATGTACTTACAATTTTATTCTTTAATAATTTTGATCTGCAATCAAAAATGGAAGTGCTACCACAGTACAGTGACATGCAATAAATTGCAAGGAAATGGTTGCATTGGTAACACTTGAACATCAAGACTATATGGGTAAACAGTTGCCTGGTTACACAAATGGCAATAGCAATTTTTCTGATTGGTGTCCCATCTCACCTCGATAAATGATGGGTATGACTAACTGTGAGGTAGTGCAGTGGTAGTGTTCCTATCTCCAGACCAGAAGGTATAGAGAAAACAGGGAATTATAGACTGTCTAGCCTACCATCAGTAGAAGGAAAAATGATAGAGTTCATTATAAAAAATTTAATAGCAGAGCATTTAGAGAACAGTGACAGGATTGGAAAGAATCAGTATGGATTAGGAAAGGGAAATCATGCTCAACAAATCTACTAGAATTTTTCGAGAATGTAACTAGTAGAATTGGTATAGGGGAACAAGTGAATGTGGTTTACTTGGGCTTTCAAAAGATGTTCGATAAAGTCCTGCATAAGAGACTAGCATGGAAAGTTAAAGAACATGGGATTGGGGGTAATGTACAGACAGGATAGAGAACTGTTTGGCAGACAGGAGACAAAGTAAGAATAAATGGGTCATTTCCTGAGTGGCAGCCAGTGACCGGAGAGGTATTTCAGGCATGAGTATTTGGACCCCAGCTATTCCCAATATATATGAATGATTCAGATGAAGGAACTAAATGTAACACCTCCAAATCTGCGGATAACACAAAGCTGAGTGGAAGAGTGAACTGTGAGGAAGATGCAGAAATGCTTCAGTATGATTGGACCAGTTGAGCGAGTGGACAAAATGCATGGCAGATGAAGTATAATGTGAATAAATGTGACATTATCCTCTTTGGCAGCGAAAATAGGAAGGCAGATTATTACCGTATATACTCGTGTAAAAGTCAAATATTTTAGACATTTTTTAAAAGGTTAAATTTATGGGGCCGACTACTAATTGGGTACTACTTTTGAGAGGCTGAAATTCATGCTGCAGCCCAAAATACCTTGTCACTAGCAGAAGCCAAACTGATCTCTAAACAAATAAAGAAGAAAAACACAACAAATAACGGTCCAGGTAATTACTGGATAAAGACAATAGAAACAAAAATGAATTACCGATAGTAAGCTTTTATTTATACATGCAAAAATTAAATATGTCAAATAAAATAGTTTATTAAAATCCAGCTAAATTACACTGTTCAAGATCTTCAGCACCGAATAAAGCTTCATTATCATCAGGATGAATGATATCATCATATGGACCCTCTTCATCTTCGCTGTCCGTAGTTTGGGGTAGCACATCATCCATTTCCTCATCTATGGCATCCCATAGATAATTGTCCTCTGTACCATCCAATGCATTCAGAATTCCATATTTCTTGAATGATTTGAAAATAGTGTCAGCTTTTATTTCCTTCCATGAATCAACAAACCATTCGGTGGCAGTGACGGAGCCCACATAGTGCCTCCTCTCGTGTATGTTTTCATCTCCATCATGCATCCAATTATTCCACTTCATTCTCATCATGTCCTTAAATAGCTTATTGATACTAACATCCATTGGTTGCAAAACACTTGTAAGTCTGCCAGGAATTACAGCTATGTCAGTGTTTTGTGATCGGATTTTATCAACAACATTCTTCACTAGATGTGATCTAAACTGGTCCCAGATGAGCAAACTCTTTTCCTTGCGTAGTCCACCAGGTTGTAGATTCCAAACTTCTTTTATCCATTTTATACATCCACCTTCATCCATCCAGCTTCATGGATGCATATGGAGACAATTCCTTTTGGAAATTTCTTCTTTGGCAAAGTTTTTCTCTTAAAGACAGTCACCAGTTTTAACTTAGTGCCATCAGCCTTACAAGAAAGAACTAAAATAAATCTACTTTTCTCATGGCCAGTGGTTTTCACCAATACTGTTTTTTCAAAACGTCAGCCTCTCTGCTCCTATGATGTCTCCCTATTTATTTCAAAACCCCCTTCCCCTCCCCCTTTTCTGATGAAGGGTCTAGGCCCGAAACGTCAGCCTCTCTGCTCCTATGATGCTGCTTGGCCTGCTGTGTTCATCCAGCCCTGCACCTTGTTGTCTCGGATTCTCCAGCATCTGCAGTTCCTACTATCTCTGTTTTTTCTCCTTTTTGGTTCACAGTTCGATTCTCTGGCATGTCGAAAGTGAAGGGCATTTCGTCCATGTTTCCACTGTGTGATTACTTGTAGCCTTCCTTCTGCCGATTTCTGATTACAAAATGGTGAAACTGTAATATCTAATCTTCGAGTTCAACAGGCAGCTTTTGTGCAGTCTCAGTTCTCTGCCAAAGTACTAAGTCATGCCTTCTCATGAACCTTGTGCACCATCCAGCACTTGCCTTAAAATTCAAAATTCCATCCTTCTTTGATTGTTTCGTGCATGGATTCAGATGGCTTCATGACTAACACGTCTTCCATTTTGACGATTTTCAAATACCCACTCAGCAACTTTTTTCTCCAATTGTGACCACTTGCTCGGCTTACCTCTGTTGGCATACTTTCGTTTTGGCATTGGCTGAAGTTGGGTCGATATCTTTCTCCTGTCTCTCACAAGTTTCTCTGCAACACAAAATTCTTTTGCTGCTACACAGCTATTTGTCTTCTCTGCAACTTCAATAATTTTCATTGTAAATGGTGCTGTGTATGTTTTGATTTTTCTAGATGGCATTTTTACACAAAATGATAAAGAAATTTCAAAACCTCAGCTAAGTATATGATGGTATTCCTCAAGTGCCTGGCTCTGATCTGATTCGTCTTAAACTTTTGCACCAAATTCTTCCATTTCCTTCTGTTTTTTCTCTGCTATTGTTTCAGTTTGACTCTCATACAGTCTCATCGATCATTTCCTCTTCGTAACATTTACCAGTATGTACAGGATAACTCAAAATGTCAATCTGTTATCTGTGAAGAATAAGGGCCAACTTTTCCATGAGATATTTGGAAAATTCAAGACTTTTTGGTCAAAAATAGTGCATCAACTTTTATATGAGATCGACTTTTGCTCGACTATATATGGTATCTGAATGGTGATAGATTGGAAAGGGATGGTGCAACAAGATCTGGGTGCCCTTGTACACCAGTCGCTGAAGGTAAAGATGTAGCATGTTGATCTTCATACCTAGCCGATTGGAGTACAGGAACAGGGATGTCTTGCTGCATTTATACAGAGCCTTGGTGAGATTGCACCTGGAGTATTGTGTTCACCTTTGGTCTCCTTCTCTGAGAAAGGATGTTCTGGCCAAGGATTGAGTGCGTGAGAGTTTACTAGGCTGATTCCTGGGATGGCAGGATTGACATATGAAAAGAGACTGGATCAGTTTCGGCTACTTTGATTGGAATTGATAAGAATGATCGGATGGGGGGCTTCTCATAGAAACCTGTAAAATTCAAACAGGATGAACAGAGGAAGGATGTTCCGGATGACTGGGGAGTCCAGAACCTGATTTCAAGTAGGTCATTTAGGACTGAGATGAGGATAAATTTGTTCACTCAGAGAGTGGTGAGCCTGTGGAGTTCTCTGTGACAGAAAGCATCTGAAGCCAAAATATTAAATGTTTACAGAGGAGATATTAAATGTTTACAGAGCAAAGGGTATGAGGAGAAAGCAGGGACAAGGTAGAGCTGGATGATCTGCCATGATCATACTGAATGGCCTACTCCTGTTCTTATTTTCTATGTTTCTATTACCAGGTTCCAGTCCCACCTGCTCCAGAGGTGTGTAATAATATCTCTGAACAGGTGGATTAGAAAATATTATATCTATAATCTTCCACATAATTAGAGTTACCCCACTATGAGCGTGAATATGATTGTGACAGTTGCAACACTAATGAATAAACAGAAGCCGCTGCATTCATTATTGACACGTGGAAATGCAAACAGAGCGGAAGATCTCTTTGAACTGGGCTCTGTAACACAATTTAGAAGAGGAAATCAATTACTTAATGATGTTCTGAGCAGTTGTCCGAGCACAAATTTCAATTCCTCTTCAGCAACTTGATACTTACACCAAATGAATACAAGTTCATCCAACATTCCAGTTTAACACAGCATGGTGGCTCAGTGGTTAGCACTGCTGCCTCACAACACCAGGGACCTGGGTTCAATTCCAGCCTCGGGTGACTGTCTGTGTGGAGTTTGCACATTCTCTGGGTGCTCTGGTTTCCTCCCACAGTCCAAAGATGTGCAGACTAGGTGGATTGGCCATGGGAAATTGCCCCTAGTGGTCAGGGATTTGTACATTAGGAGGGTTATAGGGGGGTGGGTGTTCTGAGGGTTGGTGTGGACTTATTGGGCAGAAGGGCCTGTTTCCACACTGTAGGGATTCTATGAAAACTAAATCTTGGCTACAATCAGAGATTATAGTGTCACACAGCACTGAAACAGACCCTTTGGTCCAGTCTATGCTGACCATAATCCCAGACGAAACTAGTCCCACCTGACCGCGCTCAGTCCATATCCCTCCAAAACATTTCTTATTCATGTACTTAGCTAAATGTCTTTTAAAACATTGTAACTGTATCCACATCCACCACTTCCTCTGGAAGTTCATTCCACACACAAATTGCCCTTTGTGTCTTTTTTAAATCTTTATCCTCTCACCTTAAAAATATGCCCCTTAATCTTGAAATCCCCCACCCCAGGGAAAGGACACCTGCCATTCACCTTATCTATACCCCTCATGATTTTATAAACCTCTATAAGGCCACCTCTCAACCTCCTACACGCCAGCAAAAAAAATCCCAGCTGATCCAGCCTCTCCCAAAAACTCAAACCCTCCATTCCCAGCAACAACCAGGTTCTTCAGCACCTAAAGTATCGAGGAAAATTGTACCTGTTTGAAATCTGAAACATTGCTGTTTAACGATATCCTGAAAGTAAGATTAGATAGTATAAAACTTGGATTTTCTGTGTGTGATTAAAAAAGTATTGTTGGAGATGTTTTAATTGAGGGAAATACAAAATATGCAACTCCTGTGCTTTGGAAAGTTGAACCCTGGATGGTGTTTGAAATAGTACTGCAACTATCTTAATCATTTTCTGGTATGCACGACGAAATGTTCCACTTCAATCCCTTCCTGACGTCATGCAAAGAGGAGGATATTTCAAATGGACTGCCTCCTGCCAAAAATTCTTCCTGTTTGACGTTTCCTGCAGCCAAACTCTATCTGAAGTGTTCCTGTATGAACAAGATGCACTTTAGGTTGGCTACAAAAAGACAAAAGGGAGTTTGCAGCCCTGTCGCATGGTGACCGTTAAACATAGCGTAGACCATTACACTTAGGTGCAGAATTAGGCCATTCAGCCCATTGAGTCTTCTCTGCTGTTCAATCATGGCTGATATGTTTGTCAACCCCATTCTCCTACCTTCTCCCGTAATCCTTGATCCCCTTACTAATCAAGAACCCACCTATAATGGCATCATAGTTGGGGCAGACTTGATAGGCCGAAGGGCCTGTACCTGTGCTGTATGTTCTATATTCTATACATAAAGACACTAAATGACTTGGCCTCCAAAGCCTTCTGCAGCAGTGAGTTCCACAGATTCCACACCCTCTAGTTGAAGAACTCCCTTCCTATCTCAATTCTAAGGGGTTGTCCATTCACTCTGAGGCTATGCCTTCGGGTCCTGGTCTCTCCTACTACTGGAAACATCTTCTCCATGTCCACTCTATCTAGGTTTCTCAGTATCCTGTAAGTTTCAGTGAGATTTCCCCTTCATTCATCTAAACTCCATTGAGTACAGACCCAGAGTCCTCAGCCACTCCTCATATGACAAGCCCTTCATCCCTGGGATCATTCTTGTCCTTTTGACCGCCTCCAAGGCCAGTCCATCCTTCCTCAAATATGGGACCCAAAACTGCTCACAATATTCCAAATGCGATCTGACCAGAACCTGATACAACCTCAGTATATCTCTGCTCTTGTATTCTAATCCTGAAGAGTTGTCAATTGTAATTAGAAAGGGTTGATGACTTTTTTTTGTACCTTTGCCCACAACAACCACCTCCAGGAGAGCAAGATGCCACTTCATTATGATCTTTGTAGCATTCCAACTGACCATCTAATACTCACTCATTATGAAACCCCCAAAATACCTTCCCACACTGGCCCACTAAATAAAAAAAAGACAACCCATCCTGCTGTCAAACACTTCAACAGAGCGAAGAGAAACTATGCCATACTCATCAGGCTGATGTCATTGGGTTGGGCTGGAGGACTCTCAGTGATGTAGTCTATATAAAATTATATTACTGAACTTCCATATGGGACATCTGAAAAAAAAACATTAAATATTCTTCAAACATTTGGAAAACACAAATAATATTTTTAAAAAAATACAATTTGATTTTGTTTTATTCAACTTGAAGTGCAATTTCTACCGAGTTAATACTACAGTATTTTTTTTTGTTTTACAGGCATAGTATCCACATCAGTAGTCACTCACTGAAAAACATGGAGGACACATGATAATAAATAGCAGAACTGAGGTGTAACAACCATCTACAAGTCATAGATTCTGGAGTATGCAGGGATCATTACTGCTGCAACTCTTCTGTATGTTACACTAATCACAATGCAATGGAATTTGCAACTGTTTATTTTTTAATGCAATTTCTGAAGATGTTTCGTAAACCTAAAGTAATGAATTTATGTCATATAAAAATAGGATGACTTGTTATGTGGAAAACTAATTTAATAAATTGTAAAAGATTGCATTTATGTATTCCCTTTTATTTTCTAGCTATTCCCAGAGTTTAATGAATTGCATGATAACTGTTTACTTTTTTCTTTCAGATGAGAACTCATTATGAGCACGTTTTTCAATATTTCTGAATACTTTTTATTTAAATAATCCATACTGCAACAAGAGCTATAACTACTAAAGGGAGAACTAGATAAAGCTGTTAAGTAAAAAGATACAGAAAACAAAAAAAAAAGTAACTGAAATATTAAACCTTGGAGTATTGCATTATACTTGTGAATTGGTATAAAATGTTACCTAGACTCTAAAGTGATGTATCAGTGAAGAGGTTTTATAATTCTGATGCATACGCATTGCAGATAATAACTTCCAAATTGAAGTAGACAAAAGATAGAAAACTATTGGCCTGAATCACTGTTATATGATGTTCCCGCAAGCCACTGAATGCTGAGGATCCTTAGCCACTAAGACTCTTAAAAAAACAAATTTCAAGGAATGTGAACATTGCTGGCAAAGCCAGTATGTATTTCCTATGTGTAATTGCCCCTGAGAAGGTGGTGCTGAGCTGATTTCTCGAACTGCATAGTATCTTGAACATACAAGAGTAGAGGACTGAAATTAATGGAAAGTGAAATCAATTGGGTAGTATAATGGTCTGTCAACTCACTACTGATTTGTTTTGTTCCACCTCTTTAAGTTAAAATCAATCTTCATACATCTTATAAGAGATTAATGGATGAAAAGTTATTGGATGTAATCTATATTTTGCTCAGAGTACTGACCATAACTCACAAGTGGCTTAAGTGTTTCCAGGCACTTAAGGTTTCATTACAAGGTTGTCCACTTGAGTTTCTGTCTATCAGCTATGCTCCATTCTGTCAACAAGCCCAGATTCTAGGAAACTACACATTGTAGATCCATGAAAATTGGATTTTCAGTCCTAGCTTATCTATTAACAGCAAAGTCTTGTGTGTTTATAGACTGCATACAGTGCAAGATTGGTTAAATATTGGGATTGCAATGTGCTATTTTAAAAAGGAGCCAATAGTCAACTGGAAAAGTACTTTCAAACTCTCTTCACTAGCCATGTCCAGGTGAACAGTCTTTCAGGAAAACTCATGCTGACATCTATGTTCTGACTGTCCGTGCTAAGTCTGTCTGGGACCAAGAGGACTTATTAGTTTCTCCTACCATTGGAAGAGATTAACAACTACATAGGGATGAAGATATCAAAGAGATATATCTTTCATTGCATTCTGATAGATCCCGCATTCACAGGTAGGAAATTATCTAGTCTTGAGAATTTATCTCAAGGTCAATTTCTGAGTTGTGTTTTTTAATATTCAAACATAATCAAGAAGATGCTAAAGAGCAATTATTCCTGTTGTTTTATTGCTCCCAAGATAATAAGCTGGGCTAAGAATCATCAGAAACTAGAATAAGCTCCTGAAAGATAATGCTTTCAAATTCTTATTGTGCAGGTATTGCTGTACCCAAGGGATTTTAAACTCCCACACCATCTTGCAGAGATGCTGATGTATTGGAAGGCTAACAATAAATTTTAGCTTCTGAATCTTAGTAAATGTATGTCAGTGGATGGGACTAGAGTGCAATAACAGGAATTTTTAAAAAAAATTTTTGGGATAGAAACATTAGAATACAAACTAATAGAAAAGTAGTCCCGATTTTAATTCTAGTTACATGGGTGGTGCTGAATTGGAAAATAAATTGTTTAGCTCAACAGATGAGGAGGTTTTAAATTTCCAATTCACATCTAATCAGTCTCTTGCCCCAAAACTAGTGAGAAGTAAAATACACTGCTGTAAATCCAGAGGGAGCAGAATGTTGAGCAGGAGGAGGCTACTAAGAGGGGTTACAGACACAAGTACTCAGCTGAGTGGCCTGGTGGGGATTTGGGAATGGCCTAGGATCCCACTCCTCTTGCAGCCCCCAGTAAAAGTCAATAACATTCAAACAATGACCTTCCTGAGCATTTGCATATCTGGATTACTCTTTTGATTAGGTTCACTTGACAAGAAAGCAACAGCAGCTTTGCTGCAAAACCTCCTGATTAAAACAGTGGTCATGTCCCGATGACATTATCAAAATCTAATTTGCAACTTTAAAGAAAGACCCTGCCGGTTTCCCTCTAAGTGCCTTTTTCCTGCTCAGAAGATTAAGGTAGCATTGGAACATGCGAAGTGAGTGAGGTCTTGGTCACAAATCCCCAGGCTGACTTTAACTGCTTATCCACCCAGTTTCTGTCCACGTGCACTGTTAAAATCCCCTCTTTAGAGTTCAAAACATAAATGTGGAGGATGATAAAACAATAACAAGGGCAACAGTATTTTGCATTTTATAAATGGGCTTTAGAATGCAGGAGACCAACAGAGGGCAACAAAAAAAGGAAATACTGAGGGAGAAGATTAAATATGAGGGCAAGCTAGTCAGTAATATAAATGAAGACTGTAAGAGTTTCTTTAGATATGTAAAGGGCAAAAGTGGACATCGGACCACAGGAAAATGACGCTGGAGAGATAGTAGTGGGGATCAAGGAAATGGCTAAGGAACTGAATAATTACTTTGCATCAGTCTTCACGGTGGAAGACACGAGTAATATCCCAAAAATTCAAGAGTCAGGGGGCAGAGCTGAGTATGATGGTCATCACCAACGAAAAGGTAGTAGTAAAACTGATTGGCCTGAAGATGGACAAATCACCTGGACCAGATGGACTACACCCTAGGGTTTGAGGGAAATAGCTGAAGAGATAGTGGAAGTGTCAGTGGTGATCTTTCAAGAATCGCTCGAGTCAGGGAGGGTCCCAGAGGACTGGAAAATTGCTAACGTGACAGCCCTGTTTAAAAAGGGAGTAAAGCAAAAGATGGAAAATTACAGACCGATTAGCCTAACCTCGGTCATGGGTAAGATTTTGGAGTCCATTGTAAAGGAGGAGATTTCTGAATATTTGGAAGTATATAGTAAAATAGGGCAAAGACGGCATGGTTTCATCAAGGGGAGGTCATGCCTGACAAATCTGCTAGAATTCTTTGAGGAAGTAATGAGAAGAGTAGACCAAGGAGAGCCAATGGATGTTATCTACCTGAACTTCAAGAAGGCCTTTGATAAGGTGCCACACAGGAGGCTGCTGAGTAAGATAAGGGACCAGCATGTTAGGGGTGAGGTGCTAGCATGGATTGAAGATTGAGTCTCTGGCAGAAAGCAGAGAGTAGGGATCATAGGGTCTTTCTCAGGATGGCAGCTGGTGACAAGTGGTGTTCCACAAGGATCAGTGTTGGGATCACAACTTTTCACTTTATATGTTAATGATCTAGATGAAGGAACTGAGGGCATTCTGACTAAGTTTGCAGACGATACAAAGATAGGTAGAGGGATAGGTAGTATTGTGGATGTGGGGAGGCTGCAGAAGGATTTGGACAGGTTAGGAGAGTAGGCAAAGAAGTGGCAGATGGAGTACAAAGTGGGAAAGTGTGTGAGGTTATGCACTTTGGTAAGTAGAATAGACGTATGGGCTATTTTCTAAATGGGGAGAAAATTCAGAAGTCTGAAGTGCAAAGAGACTTGGGAGTTCTAGTCCAGGGTTCTCTCAAGCTAAACTTGCACGTTGAGTCAATATTTCGGAAGGCAAATGCAACTTTGGCATTTACTTTGAGAGGACTTGAATATAAAAGCAGGGATGTACTACTGAGGCTTTATAAGGCTCTGGTCAGGCCACATTTGGAGTATTGTGTGCCGTTCTGGGCTCCATATCTCAGGAAGGATCTACTGGCCCTGAAGGGGGTTCAGAGGAGTTTCACGAGAACGGTCCCAGGAATGGAAGGCTTAACATACGAGGAACATTTGAGGACTCTGGGTCTATACTCATTGGAGTTTAGAAGGATGAGGGAGGATCTAACTGAAACTTACAGAATACTGAAGGGACTGGACAGAATGGATGTTGGGAAGATGCTTCCATTGGCAGGAGAGACTAGGACCTGAGGGCACAGCCTTAGAGTAAAGGGAAGACCTTTTAGAACGGAGATAAGGAGAAACTTCTTCAGCCAGAGAGTGGTGAATCTATGGAATTCACTGCCGCAGAAGGCTGTGGAGGCCAGGTCATTGAGTACATTTAAGACTGAGATAGATAGGTCCTTGATTATTAAGGGGATCAAGGGTTACGGGGAGAAAGCAGGAGAATGGGGTTGAGGAACTTATCAGCCATGATTGAATGGCGGAGCGGACTCGATGGGCCAAATGGCCTAATTTCTGTTCCTATGTCTTATGGTCTTGAGAGTGAAGAGAAAATGATCACTTTGTATTACTTTGGCCATAGGTAGAGTACTGTGTACAGCTTTCGGCTATTCATTACAGAAAAATTGTTAAAACCATCGAAACCATCCATCAGAGAGTTACTGAAGTAATAACAGAAGTCATGTTGTAGGGAAAGACTTGAGATGCTAAGACTATATTGGCTTGAGAAAAATTTTTCCTGTTCCACCCGAAGTCTCTCGGCACTCAATCTTTAACCTCGAATACAAAAAGAGACCACATTCAATAGTAACACAACATTGGTAATAATAACTTTAGTATCAGATGAGAGCAAAAGATGGATTGAAACAATGGGATTGAAGATCACATATGCAAATATTTATAACTAAATACTCTGCTACTGATTAATATGGAAATGAAGCTGTAAACATTATTCATAAAACGTCATTGGTTAGCTGAAATTACAAATATCCATTGATTTTAAAGGCAGGAAAATAAACAGCTCTACAAATCAAGAATGCACCTCCTTCTATTCCCAATTTTCCCAGTCCAGAGGTCAGACTTGCAGAACTCCTAGGAATCTGGAGGGTCTTTTTTACTCACACTTGAGGTTGGAAAATATTTTTGCAGCAGACTGTCTTTGAGAAAGCTTTTTTTTAAAAATACATTCAGGGGAATGAGGTATTGCTGGCCAGACCAGCATTTATTGCCCATTCCAAGGGGCAGTTCAGAGTCAAC